CATTGCAGTGGAAACCCCTCAGTGAGGACCCCGGGGCTCTGACAGCGCCCTGAGCCCTCCGCCCCACCCTCAGCCTCACCCCACCCCACCGCAGCCCTCACTCCCAGGTCACACCCAAGCCCCGGCATTACCAGTCCTGCAACTCTTCATAACCTCAACCCCTACAGCTCATCCGCCTCCTGCTCACTCCCCCAACTGCCCTGAACCCCACAGTCCTCCACCCCTCTGGGGAGATCTGACTCACAGCAGCCCTTGATAGTACTGTTGAAGCTGAATAAATGCATTGCATTCATTCATTCTACAAACCTGATCTGTGCCAGGTTTCCCGTTGGAGCCTTGGGATGCAGAGCGAACAAGATAGACCGAGCCACTACCCTCACGGGGCCTGTGACTTACCAGGAAGGCAGCTATGGCCAGGTGCCATGGGGGGACACACAGAAGCGCCTACTCCAGCCTGCAGGTCAGGGCAGGGCAAATGGAAGTGGGGCAGGCCAAGAAAAGGGAAGTATTCTTCGGCCAAAGTAAGAGCCTGGGCATAGAGGCAGAGGCTTAGTCACCCTGGACCCTCTTAAGCCCTGCTAAGCTCTGATGTGTTCAGGAAACAGGAAGCCCTTGAAGGGTTGAGCAAGGGAGTGACTGATCAGAGCTGCCCTCTGGAAAGACATTCTGACAGCGGCTTGGAAGAGGATGAGAGGACAGCAAGATCGTAGCTGGAGCAGCAGGCTGCAGGAGCCACGTGCATGATGACTGCGGCCTGGGGAAGGCAGTCAGTAGCAAAATGGAAAGTGACACAGCCTCTGGTTTTAGATTGGCATGTGGTTGTCTAGAATACAGGTGACGCTCCCCAGCCTTCCTTGCAGTAGCTGTGGCCAGGTGACTACGTTCTGGCCAATGGGATTTAGGTGGAAGGCATGTGTACAACTTCTCAGACAGCGCGTCCCTAAAGATGGAGAGGGTGCCCCTCTTCACCCCGCGGCTTCGCCTTCCCACCAGCTGGAAAGATGGAGTAATGACGGGACCTAGCACAGCCATCAGGGATGATGCCAGCTCTGAAATGGACGTACTTGGGTGGGGGCAGGTTGGAGAGGAGAAAGTGAAAAAGACTCCAGACCCAAGTTAGAGACATCGGGACTTCCAAGAAAGTACTTAGCTTAAAATCCCACCCAATGCTCCTTAGTCTAAGTATGTGGAAACAACAAAGCAGCACAGACAGAAATGGGTTGGAAACAGAAGACAGATTCTGTTTCTTCACTGCTTCCTGTGTAATCGAGGATGAATCACTTATCCCGGAGCCTCAGTTTTCTCATCCAAAAAATGGGTTACTGCCTGACTTGCCTACCTCAGTTGGCCAGTAGCAGATGTGCTAATGTGACATATGTGAAAGCATTCTGTCAACTATGAAGCGCCACCCAAGGAAGGGTAGGAGTAGCTTATGTATAGTTAATAAACTGATGGCAGCTGGGTGCAGTGGCTCACACCTATAATCCCTTTGGGAGGCTGAGATGGGAGGATCACTTGAGCTCAGGAGTTCGAGACCTGCCTGGCAACACAGCAAAAAAATTTAAAAATTAGCCGAGCACGGTGGTACACGCCTGCAGTCCCAGCTACTTGGGACACTGCGATGGAAGGATCACCTGAGCCCACGAGGTTGAGGCTGTGGTGAGCTGAGATCATGCCACTGCACTCTAGCCTGGGTGACAGGGTGAGACTCTGACTAAAATAATTAACTAATTAATTAGCCAACTAATTAAATAAACTGATGGCAAAGGACTGGATTCCCCTGGGATGGCGGTCTGCCCACATAAGGGCTCAAGGTGATTGAGACAAATCTGAAATCCTGTTAATCGATAGCTACAGCTGATGGGATTTGGTGATTATTTGCACATGGAAGGTGGCGGTGTCCCCACAACAAGGCATCTCAAAAGCATGCTGGGTGACCCTCTAAGGAGCAGACCCACTGCCCTGGTCAGCTTTGCCTGCAGAGGGGTTCTGGAGTGGCAGGGGCAAGCCTGCCCTGCCCAGGGCCAGTCCTGACCAAGGCCAGCCGGAGGGCATCAGCGCAGGCCCTCAGGCCCTGAGGGCTGGGACTGGCCTGGCTGTGTGAAAATTCATGTCTGGAATAGCTGCCAGCTGCATTTTCAGCCCAAGCACCTGCTTGGGTGCCTCTGCTTCCATTTCCTTGTAGAGCCAGGCTCAGAATCCCCCCATGGTTGGCTGGGCCCTGACACCTGCCTTGCCCTTCTCCTGGTGGCTGGCCCCTGGCCCCAGCTCACCACTTTCAGAGACTCCTGCCACCATGCCTCTTCAGTCAGAATGACCCCAGCTGTGCCCTGCTGACTCGCTTATCACCAAAACCCTGCAGGCACCTAAGATCTAGCCAGAGCCCGCCGTTCTAGGCTCACACCTCCTGCCTCTGCATAACTGGAACTCCCTGACCCGCTTCGTTCTGCCTGACAGACTCCTCCTCCTCCTCTGTCCAGATGCAGAGTAGCTCTCGAGCACTTCCTGTGCCCCCCACCGTTCCCTGGCCCCCCCTCTGTCAGAGCACTCCTCATGGGGTACTAAGATGCCTGTTTGCAAGGGGGCCCCCACCAGTTTGCACGTTCTTTAAAAACACAGGTCACATTTTTCATCTCACAGGGCCAGCTGGGTCTGGCCCAGAGCCCGGGACCCTGGAGGTGCTTGGTGCATATTGAACGGATGGCTGACGGGAGTCAGATGGATAAACACAGAGAAGCAGGCCTATCAGTTGGAGCCCAACTGGACACCAGTCTGCCAGGCTCTGCTGGAGCCTGCCTGAAGGTCCTTGGCCACATCTCTCCCCTTGTCCAAGCAGCTCTGCAGCTAGTCCGGTTCCCTCAGCCCTGTTCTGCCTTCCCAGCCTTCCCCTACAGCCCAGGGGAATCCCAGCAAGCCCTGAGAAGTGTCAGCTCTGTCCAGCCCTCCAGGCTCTCCTGCACAAACACTGGCCACCCCCATGAGGATGGTCGTGCTTTTAGGGACCCCAGGCTAAAGGTTCTTCCCATGGGCCTCACCTGATCTGGCCCCACTCAGCCTCCCTGTCCTTCCTCCTCCCACATGGGTGGAGCCTCCAGGCAAGAAACAACCCAGTCTTCTACCCCCCAGCCCCTGTTGCCGGGACCCTGAGGGACAGAGGTGTGGTGTCTAGGAAGTCCCTCCCTCCACTCCAGGAGTAGAGTTGCCCCTCTCTCCTACCCCTCCACACTCCTCCGATGGAGACCCAAGGAAGATGCTTCTCAGCCAAGGGACCTCCAGTGAGACCCAGGAGTCAAAGGAGAGAAATGTGTCCCAGCTGATCGTCACCCACCGGAATCCACTCTGTGAGTTCCTGGGGTTGACCAGGACGCAGTCCCAGGTGCGGTTAGGAGTGTTGCGGAACAGAATCAGCTGCCCTTCCTCCCGAACCCGGTCACTCAAGGTGTAGTCGGCCACGGCCACCTCCTTCACCCGGAACGGGTTAGAGAACAAGTTGCTGACGCTACTGAGGGTATTGACTAGGCGGCCGAAGAACTGCATCTTCTGTGGGGCAGGTGGGGAGGCCCCACCGCCTTCCTTTTCAGTCTGGAAGAAAACGGGGTCTCTGGTCAGCTGGGCTCGGTCTCCCATGCCCACCTCACCATGTGCAGCAGTGTCCTGCACAGACACCCAGATCGCTCCCACCAGCGCCGTCCCCTGGTCCTGGGCCTGGAGAGAAAGAAAGAGAGACAACACTGAGTGGTAGGGAAGAAGTGACAGAGTCCCTGGGCTGGGCTGGGGACCTGGAAGGCTGCCCTGCTATGCTGCTGCTGCCCGCAGGTGATCTTAACTGCCTGCTCCCTGACCCAGCATCCTCAGCAGAGACTCAGTTTCCTCGTCTGTGGTGTGGAGTTGTACTGGTCCGGGGGACGGTGACGTGGACGCACATTCTAGGCAGAGATGCCCTGGCCAAATGGAGTGTGCTCGCTGTGTAGGTTACAGAGACAATTGCTTGGCACTAGAGAGCTCGGCATGCTTATTTCAATTCCACAAGCAAAATCAGTGTCCCTCTATGCTAGATACTGAAAGGCGACCAGCAATCGTATCACACTCAATCGCGGGAAAGGGACCATTGGTATTTGTCTAAATCTTTTGGTGCTTGCCACCACTGGTTTCCCAAAGAGCTCAGAGTGAACACAAAAACCAGCGTTCAGAAATGAGCGTGAGTGTAAAGAGACAGTGAACACTTGCTTAGGTGGCAAATTTATGCTGCAAATTCAGAGTCATAGTTTCTGCTGTGGAAACTGTCCCTAGTTTAGATGACAGAATTAGATGTCTGGTTATTTCCTGGGTTCCCAGAAAGGACACTGCTTTCCTAAGGCACTGCCACCAAAGCCAGGCGACAGTCAGCTGGAGGCCACCCTCTGCCTCTGTGCCAGGATGTCATCTGATAAAAGACGCTGAGGACAGAGCGTGGGTGCCCTGGGGGAGAGAGGACATCTGAGTGGACACTAGCTCACAGCCTCATTCTGCCCTGTCCTGTGTGTTGAACAGAGGATCGATCTTGGGACAGAAGGAAGACAAAGACAAGAGGCCTACAAAGAGCCATCTCAAAAGGGGGCTGGGCTCCGACAATTACAGCAGAGAATGTGGATCAAGTGCTTACGATGTAGCCAGCCCTGAGCTAAGTTTTTTTTGTAATTGTCTAATCGGATTTACACAAGACCATGAGGCAGGTACACTGAGAGCACAGGGCTCTCCTGAACCAGACAGCGTTCAAATCCCAGCCTCACCACGTCCCAGTTGTGGTGAGCTACTTAACATCTCTGTGTCCCAGTTTCTTCACCTGCAACATGGGGACCATAACAATTCCTAATCATAGCACACGGTAGATAGCAAATGTCCAATAGGCATTAGCTCTCTTTACTTTGCTCATCCCCCATTACAGATAAGAAAACTGAGGTTTAGAGAACCATGGCTACAAAACTCTGAAAACGCCCTGAAGCTTTGTAACATTCTTCCCTTGATCAGTAGTAAGATGCAGCGTAAGGACATCGTGAATCTGTTTTCTCCTTTAATTTTTTTTTTTTTGAGTTGGAGTCTCACTCTGTCGCCCAGACTGGAGTGCAGTGGCCACTCCCGGCCACCGCAGCCTCGACCTGCTGGGCTCCAGCTATCCTTCCGCCTCAGCCTTCCAAGTCGCTGGAACTACAGGCGCGCGCTACCACGTCCGGCTGATTTTTGATTTATTGTAGAGATGAGGTCTTGCCAAGTTGCCCAGGTGAGTCTCGATCCCTCGGGCTCAGGCAATCCACTCACCTCGGCCTCCCAAAGCGCTGGGATTACAGGCTGAGCCACCGAGCCCGGCCTGTTTTCTCCTTTAAAATGCGGTGCCCATCTTGCACACATTGTGAGGATTACATGAGAACGTTTGCGAGAATACTTGGAACTGTGCCAAGCTTCCTTCTTTCCTCCGCACTTGGGGGACAGAGAAGCTGAGGTACCTGTACCCCTCTCCATAGCAAGGGGAGAGTAGAGGGACCCCAAGAGAAGGCATGGGAATCAGTCCCAGGAAAAGAACCGCAAAACAGAAGACCCGACATGCACACCAGTGTGTGCTGCAGCAGTCTTCATGATGACATGCAATGGAGCAGCTTGGCTGTTCAGCATCAGTAGATGGTACATTATGATACGTCACCTCAGAGCTACATGTGCTCATTAAAAGTGTAACTGTGAAGATCATAACTGAGGAAAAGTTCATGGTGTCCTGCAAGGCTCGGAGACAGCCCTCAGTGATGCGTCTGTCTGGAGTGCCCTTCCTCTCCTTTTCCATCTGAAAAAGCCCAATCCTTCTTCAAATCCAAGCTCGGTTCTCACCTCCTCCTTAAAATGTCCTTGATTCACCGTCCCCAGTCACCAGGGTCTCCCTCCTTGCTCTGTGCTGCCCCTTGCTTAAACACATCTCTACTCTCACACCCCGGATTGTTACAGTCCTCCCTCCTGCCAGACTCCAAGCTCCAAAATCATCACCCCACCCATACTCGCTTGTGCCTTTTTCTGGGCTCTGGCACTTGTATAAGAGCTTTACACATCTTGATCATTTCATCCACACAACACCCTATGGAATGGTTATTATTATCATCCTCATTTCACACATGAGAAGACCAAGGCACAGAGAGGGAAAGTCATGTGCCCAAGGTCACACAGCTAGTAGGTAGAGGAGTGAGGACTGGAGCCCATGGGCAGGTTCCCAAGTCAGAGCTTCTTATGGGCTGCTGCTGGTTCTTCACTGCCATACCCTCACCCCAGCCCAAAGCTTGGCTCACCGAAAGTATGTTAAAACAGAACTTTTGTTATTATTTTGTGTGTGTCAGGGTCTCGCTCTGTCACCCAGGTTGGAGTGCACAGCACAATCACTCTTCACTGTAGCCTCGACCTCCTGGGTTCAGGGATCCTTCCTCCTCAGTCTCCCGAGTAGCTGGGACTATGAGACCTCACAATGAGGTCTTGCTGCGTTGCCCAGACTAATCTCGAATGTCTGAGCTCAAGCTATTCTCCTGCTTCAGCCACCCAAAGTGCTGAGAGATTACAGGTGTGAGCCACTGTGCCCAGCTTTAAAATATTATTTAACTGAGTAAATATTATACACAGGAAAAAAAAAAGACTGACAGAAAACATACCAAAATACTGAGTAGATGAGGTTTATGGGCAATTTATTTTCTTCTCCCTATTTTCCAAATGGTATGTAAAGTGGTCATAGTTTTCAAAGAAAGCAGCAGTATAGGCTGAGCCTTTGCAGCCAGAGGATGGGGATCCATAGGGGTCAGGCCTGGCCGGGAAAAGAGGCAGAGCCAGGTGCAGTGGCGCATCCTGTAGTATGAGCCCGGGAGGTCAAAGCTGCAGTGAGCTATGATCGTGCCAGTGCACTCCAGCCTGGGCAACAGAGGGAGACTGTCTCTAACAAAA